CACTGTTAGGCTTCATGCTGGCCCAAGTGTTTCCAGGTTTCCAAAGTACATCCTGAATGCTGCTCTCCTACCAAATCTTAAAAACCCCAATGTCTGAACTTTCTTCCCAGATCCTTAAAATGAAGTCAGTTTTCAATGTATTTGTCATCCTTTGGCAGTTTTCTATATCCTTTTGGTGACAACTAAGTGTTATTATATTATTAGTGTACCTCTCTAATTAATATTTATGACTTTTCACTTGATGAGATGATTGATTATTATCCTTTTCTTTAGAATCTAGAATTATTTTTCCCAGTGGAGAAGGTTAAAAAATAGAACTTTATTCTCTTCTTTGCACAGAAAGTATGCTGGTAGGAAGCCTCTGTGTCTTTAGTCACTTCTCTGTTCTTTGTGTACTCTAAAGAGAAGGTAAAAAAGGGCAGGTCCTAGTGCCCCGGTGCCAATGCTGGGCCTTGGCCTGTTCCTCTGTGCTTTCTGGGAGAACCACGGAATTAAGGAATCTGAACATGGCCGAAGGAGTTCTTAGGCTACCCTTCCTAGTGGAATACTTTGACATTCAAGCTAGTTTATTACTGAGTTGCATTGTTCCTATCTCTCACCTGGATCAGGGTGAGTTACAGCAGACTCCAATAGCTCTATCATACCCACAGGTTAATTTAATTGAACACTTAATAAATTAATTAACCAATTCCAGAAAATACCAATGTATAAAACTATGAATTAAGAAAACTATAAATGATGTTCCTAATTGACCTGTGGGTATGAAGATCTAATTTTTATTAAAAACTATGACCTATTCACATACATAGTGGCAAGTATGATATTGTAAAACAAAATTTAAGTGTATCTTTTTCCCTGGATACTTGGCTTATGAGTTATGAGTGATTCTCATTTTCTTTTTGTGCTTATCTGAATTTTCCAATATTTTTCATTATAAATATGTATTCATTTATGGTAAGAAAATACCGTAAGAAGTACCATGGTAAGAAAATTTTCAAACTATACCTATAGCACTCTGCTGGCCTTTGAAGTGAGGATGGAGGATTACTAAAATGTTATTACATAGTCTGTGCTTTTGGAAACATAATTTAGTTTATCACCCAAGGTTATATGCAAATGCAAATTTAAATAATGATATATTAATGATTTAAGTAGTAACAAAATGAGCCATAAACGTATTTTGAGGTAGTTGTAATGATGAGTGATAATGAAATTTATATTTTCAAATAATCTAGTTTAATTACTAGGAAAAAAGCCTTCTACTGTTAGTATTATGATCCCATGTGTCATATGAGAAAATTGATGCCTGTTTCTTAATTTGACTTGCAAATCTATGTATAGACTATAATATAATAATGGAGTGCTCACCATGTGCCAGGAACTGTTCCACGGTTCTACAGGAGGTTAACTGTGGTGCAGTGGTTAAGGGGGCAATTCCTTGAAACTTCTACTTGACTTAAATCTTCACTTTTTTTTTTCCTATTTACAAGAAGCTACGTGATCTTGGGCAAGCCATTTAACCTCTCTGGGCCTACATTTCCTGATTTTAAAAATGGAGGTAATAATACCTATTTTACAGGATGTTAAATGGATTAAAAAATTGTATATGTAAAATACTTGGCACAATGTGGTATATTGTATTAGCTATTACCAAAATATATTAACTCATGCAAACTTTATAACCCCATGAAGCAGGCATTAATGATATTATTAATATTAATATCTCTACTTTTAGATGGAGAAACCAAGACTGAAAAATGTTAAATGATTTGCCCAGAGTCAATATGTGGAAGAGCTAGATTTGAACTGTGGTTCTGTCGCTCTAGTATCTGTGCTCGAACCACTCTGTTGAACTGTGTCTTCAGATTACAAACAGCCCAGTATCTTTCACATGATGAGTGAATTTCTGGTAAGTAATAAGCAATGCATGTTTTCAATATGTGTGTTGCCATAAAATAAATATGATTTTGGGAAACAATAAGACTTATCTATTTTCACATGTTCAGTTAGAGTTTAAAAAGTGGACAGTTTGTCTCTGGTACTTGGTAAACTGATTAAATCAAACCATATATCCTTACTGAAGGGTAGAATTCTTTCTCCTCTCCCTCTTTTTCTTTGTCTTCCTCTCCATTTTACCCCACCCTATCCCATCCTCTACCTAGTTAGCATTGTGTTGGCTTTTGCCTTTTTGCCTGAGGGCCCATGTTTATAATGCAAAGCTCACAGTGGATACAGTTCTTTTTTCCTGAGATTATAATTGAAATCTCGGAAGCCATTGACTTCAATGAGGAGTTTGAATTCTTATCCCCAAAGTATTTTATACAACTATTGTTATAGACTTTATATTTCAGTACTTTAGATGGGAAAATGTTTGATGTCAGAATAATATATAAACGGCTTAAAACAGTTTTTACAGAAGGAGTAACAATAGGGCAGACAGATAAATAAGTTTTTTGATACACATTTGCTAATATAACGGGAGCTATTACTAGAAGAGAAAGCGCAAATGAAAGGAATTAAATATTTATGCTTGAAGAATATTCTAAGTTCAATCAAATTCAAACTAATTATAAAATTTTAAAAAATTATTTTAAATTGTGAGCTATAAATATCAATCTAATCATGTATCAATGGCTTTGATGTTCCCCCCTCCAAAGTGGTTAAGACCAGTGGTTCTCAACCCTGGCTGCATATTAGAATCAATAGGATGGGGTGGGTTTTAAAAATCCTGATGTCCATGTTGCCCCCTTGACCATAATCTGTGCGCTTGGGGGGAACTCAAGCTTCAGTGTTTTCCTACAGCTTTCCGGGTGATTACCATATGCTGAATAGGACCGCTTTAACAGATTACTTAATATTCATGTACACTGAACTAAAAGGTTGGCTTTTCAAAAACATTCTTTCTATTAGTAGAGCAGAATTCGCTTCTCAGTCACTTGAAGTTTGGCTCTCATCACCGGAGGACACATCTTCCCACGCAGTAAGGAGTTTCAATTTGGCAGAACTCAAGCACAGGAAAAACCACCAAGGACATTATTTATCTTTTCCCTGGCCTTGCAGCAATCATTACATGAGAATATGTTTATTTATTAGAATAATAAATGAGTGGTTCTACAGCTCTGTTTTTAGATTCACATGCAAGATTCTCAGCATCTTCAAAGCAGGACATTTCATAGTCTCTAAAATCTCAAACTCACTTGCTTTTTATCTTTCTCTGCCTTCTACATATATATGAGTTTTGGCAGGCAGAATTTTCATTGATTAAAATCAAAGAAAGAAACATTTTTTTAAAAAAAATCCAGGTATTTCAAACAGTATGGAGAGCTGGTGATGGGGGCTCCTTGCTTTGAAAGAAAAATGAGGGCATACGATATTCTTAGAACTCTGCTGCCATCCAAGAATCTTACATTTGCTGATAAAGCCAATAGTTTCATAGCTATGTAATGGAGAATCTGAGCTTTCTTTCCACCCTGGGGGTACTCTCCTGAATAAATGGAGCTCAGGCTGTTGTCGGATACCAACTAAATGAAGGAGCCATCTTTTAATAGCTGAGGCAGGAGACGGAACAATCCCCGGTGGACAGGAGAGTAACAAAGACAAACTGAGAAGGAAAATTGGTTGATTTCACGAAAGACATGGCATTGTACCCTGGGGTGGCTCAAGTTGTTTCAGATGATGAGTGACAATGGAGGTGACAGAACTTTACTGGCCTGAAAGAAATATAGAGAAAAAATGAATAAACTTTGTTTGCTTCTTAGTGGGGGAAAAAAAAGCATGTGCAGTGAATTTTCTCCCTAAGATTGAAGCTTGTGCCCTGCTGTTAGCTTCCTGAATACAGAACCTACTGGAAGCAAAAGCTGCAGAGCCATATTGAGATATGCCTCTAGATAATCCCAAATGGAGGGCCCAAGAAACTGAGATAGGAAAGGAAATATCCTTTTCTTACACTTTTGGTGTTAGTTTCTTCTCAGTTCACTGTCTCCTTTGTGCTCCCCAATAATCCTTTGCTTTTATTACTCTCCTTACACAGTTCACCATCATGCACAGGGTCCATAATGCCCAAGAATAGTCTTAATATTGAGCCTGGTTACTTGGTAGTGAACTAAGGACATTACATCTGAACAGTCTACTTGTTTTTATTTAAGCCTTATAAAACTCCGTAAGACCTCCTAACATTAGTACCGAATAGGTTTTATATTAATATATGAACCAGCTGTAATAATATATAAAAATTGCTGGCAAAGAGAAAATATCTTTCATCTCTGTGAGAACTGAAACACTCAAAGTAGATTATTTAATTTTATATTATCCTTGGACTTTTTTCTTCTCTAAGGCAAGTCAATGTATTCCAGAAAAGTACAGGAAACATGGTAAAGTATACCTTTTGTTTGAATGTCAACGCCTCACACTCATTTAGGTGTGTTTCCAGTGAAGTCATCGCACCAGCAATAGATCTTTGCAACTAAGAATTCATTTCTATATACCAGGAAAACCTAGAAACTATTTTTTATGTTGAAAATTCAAGGTAGGGATGGAAATATTAGAAAACATGTTCCTTGCTATTGGGCATAAAGTGCTAGAAAGAAGGACTTTACTACAAAAAGAAAAACCTTTTTTTTAATTCAGTACTCATAATTAAGTCATAAAGCATTTCAAGTATAGTAACCTAATCAACAACATCACAGATTTCTGGGACTGTTAACCTGGTGAGCAAAATAAATTATGCTTGAATTGTATACAAAGAGAAAAAAGTCAATAGATTTTGGGATAGTATTAATATTATTGCTAATTTAGTGACACCATAGATATGCTTTTCTTTTTTTTTTTAACTTTGCAAAAATACTAGGAAATGCAGATTGCTATGTGTTTACAACTTGAACTCAATCAAATGTATCAGAACATGGATGGATTAAATGTCTTTTTTTGAAATAACGTATTTACAGAGTTTGACACAAAGAAAAATAGCTAAGATTCTACAACTCAGAACAATCAAAAGATACTGCAATAACACAAAATTGACTTTTAATGTTTGTTTACCAGTTCATTGTATCTTACAGAAAATGAAAACATTTTTTTTGTAATACAGATTTGTTCTTCTCCTCAGATGTATACTCAGTATCTATGAAATGCCTTTAAATATGATTTTCTTTCAATCAGGTGGTTTAATGACTTGTACTTTTCATATCTTTCATTGTACACCCATTGCTGCTCTGGCAGTAGTGAGCTATGATACAGTTAACTTCTCAAAAAAACTATGTGAATTATCCATCTATCTTCCTTAATGCATTCTATGCTAAAACTGATAAGTGATTCCGCTTTAATCCTCTCATCCTTAGTGGTCAGCTATTCCACTAGACCACCTATTCTTTGGAGTACTAAAACCAAGAAACCCAGTATGGCTGCCAGCAACCAAATTGGAATCTCCTTTGAGTCTACTTCTAATTGCCAAAATAATAAGCAACTATATTATTGCATAAGATAACACTTTAACAGGTACCGGCCCCCTTTTTATGAGAGAAAGTTTAAACTTACAAATACCATATTTGGCTAAAAATTATTGTGATAAAATACGACAGCAATTGTTCAAAGATGGCTTCCAGTGTTAATGTGACCAACTTGTTTTCATTTCTAATCTGTCTTTTTTATATGAATTGCTTCTTTTTGTTTGGATTTTCAAATGTAGACATCAGTGAAATTTGCAGATATACTTTCTTCCTTATATGGTCACAAGTGTTAATTATGAACAAAATAATCAAAACAAATTTTCCTAGCTCAGTCTTCCATCTCATCCCTCTGATACTCTTGGAATCCAAGTCTGAGGAGCAATTTATGAATTAGCCAGTATTGTACCAATATTCTGTTAGGAATTGTACTAGGGTGACCTTTCTTTTTCAGATATTCTCAGGGAGATATCTCAGGGAATGAAGTAGGAAAATAGACATTTGGTGGAAAAACAGCAAAATGAGAACATTAAAAAGACTCATTCAAGTAGAAGTCTAAAGGGCATGGAAATTCTGATCATTTGGGCAAAGTCAGAAGATAAAAATTCTGCTCAGCAGTATTCATTGTGTTAAGATTTTCATTTTTGTTTTTTACAAGAATGGCAAAATGGTGTGCAATTGGTATAGATTTTAATCAGTTAACAGTCATTCCAGAGATTTTAATCAGCACCAATTCCTATACTAATAAGTATTCAAAAGTTAAGAAATGCTACTATGCTTAACATTATAAAGGTAGAGTTCTGCAATAGTTGAAAATTATATGCCTGCTTCAAAAGAAATTTGTTCCCACTTACATTCTCAACAAATTTCTTGTAGCATAGATAATAATAGTTCAAGTATGGACTTTCTCCAGTGAGCTGTCCCCCATATTTGAGGTGTTAGAACTATTACTTTGGAGATAGTCCCTTCTTTAAATAATATAATCATCTTATTCTAAACCATTCAGGTATCTTTAATTTAGAAATGCGAGTTCTACTTATACCAACAATGTTTGAGTTTAAACTCACAATCTCTTTGGATTTATAGTTTTGTACAATTTCCATATCCAACCTAACTTAAAAACGTGCATGCATACATTGTCATCTTTTAATATTAAAGCATCTGAACATTTCCAGATATGTTTTTGATGAAAGAAAATATCTGCTTTTATTTATAATATTTTGTCTAGCTAATATACGAATATGGTTTCATGGACTTCCAATTGTTCTCTACCTTCCACACACATAACTCTACATTTATAGAGTAAATTTATTAGAATTATTACGGAGCTTTAAATGCAACCACAATCAATTCAGGAAACAGATTTATTTACTCATGTTCATGGAAGGAAAATCTACATAAAAACATTCATGAAAGCATACCAGCTATGTCATACTTGGATTGTTGTACTAAATCCCATTTATTAGAACTCATTGCAAAACAATGGGAAATCATGAAATGTGATTTGAATACAAATATTGGTCCCTGTGGGGTCTCAGCAGTCATAAAAATATAGGAAAACAGAGCTTTATTTAAGATTGGATCTGCTAATGTGGAAAGTTTTTGTTGTTGTTGTTGTTGAAGCTGGACTTAACCTTTCATTTAAAGGCCTGAAGATTTTAGTGTAAACTCTGTGATGATGACAGCTTCAGCATTTCATTTTAGCCCAATGATGACCAGCAAGGAAAGTGACACCACTGACCACATTTTCTATTTGAGAGAAGGTTTAGGACTACACTGTTGATGTTTTTCCCCAAACACAGGCACCAGATGGGCTTCCTAGTGTATATACAAATAGGAATAACAAGAATTTTGAAAGTTGAGTCTTTGTTTCTTGGTGAGGCAAGTGTACAGATATTCATTCCTTTTATGATGTAATTTTTTCATGTAATGTAAATAAGAAAGAAATATTAAATAGTTTAAAGTTATGTTTGTAGGACAATAACATTTTATAGGCTAACATAAAATCAAGCTGCTAACTTTTACCATTTTTCTGTCCAGCAGTTTATCTATATAACTGCCCTGAGTAGATGCTAAATGCTGCTTAGCAAATGGCCCTTAGAATTTAAATATAACTCAGTAAAGCTACTCAAAAGATAAAACAATTCTTCCTAGACATGTGTAATTTTAATTATAACACGGTAGGTCTTTCATTGGTTAAATATTATCTGCTTATTTAAGTCTCATACTTCATATAAATGGGATTATTAAGGGGTTTTAACTGTGCTTGTTACTATGCATTGGAATCAATATGAATTTTTTTTTTTTTTTGGTTAAAAAGGCAGGATTTTAAAGAGTAAAATATTCTGTTTATTGGAGTCTTGAAATATGAACTTCTAGAAAAGTGTAGATTGTTCCCTTGTGAAACTGAGTTTTGTATAACTTCTCAGTTTATGTAAAGAAGCCTGTATTTCAAATCCACTGTTTTTAATTTGTTTATTGCAGTGCATTTCAAAATTGTACAAATGTGTAAAATTTGTGCTTGTGAAAGCTGCTGCTCTGAGTAGCTTTACTTTCCTTAATTTAATCCTAGCAATTCTCAAGCTATTGCATGCCCCGTTCAGGAAAGGATACTTTGTTGGGATGATATAGCTTAAACGGTTTAGCTCTAAAGCCTTCTTATGTAGAGCTTCCCTTAAAATTATATTAATTTATAATATATATTGAATGATAGCTTTACAAAAACAAATTAATGAATTGATCTTTATGAAAAATGACTCTTTACAGTAAGTAAAAAAGGGTTATCACAGTTTTGGTAACTTGCATGAGTTCATATTGAAAACAAAACCTTTCACATGTTCTTAATGACTTTAAAACTGACGCGCTCTAGGGGCACCCTCAGTTGTATGCTCTGAAGCAATAGACACCATACAGCTTATGCTTTTTATCTGGGAAACCCACGAAGCGCACCGCAGCCTCTGTGGGACTGCAGCGTCTCCTTGGCCTAGAGATAGGATAGCGGACACTGCCATCCGCCAACCAGCCTGCATCGCAGCGATCGTATCCAAGAAGTTTCCAGGCAGCAAATATCTGGCCCACTTTTGCAATCTGAGCACCATCGTTGAGACAAGCTTGCACCGCTTCATCGTAGGTCAGTTTGGTGGGGTGGATCAGATAGTAAAAACGGCCTGTGGAGAGAGGGAAACGGAGTCAGTGGCCCGTCTGTGATTCAGCCACACAGAGATGGAAGGAGCCGAAAAAACGGAAGTGTTTTTCAATGAAAGGGAATGTAGAGCAGCGTCTGTAGAGTTTTTGGAACGTAGGATTGTCAGTTAAATGTAATGTCCCTAGGTCGCTCTCCATTAAATTAGTTTTTCCTTTGCCCCTTAATATGTGTTCAGACATGCCCTTTTATAGCTTTAAAAAGAAAAGGGAAATGACAGATGCAGTTTCTGTTAGCTAATTAGTGACTAAAAGAGCCCTTCTGTGGCACTAGAGAAGACAGAATTCCATGTTAAAAGCAAGAGCTATTTAAATTCTAGCTGTAGCAAGACTGAAGCCCAGCACAAGTTACTGGAGAAGCAAAATTTGAATGTGAAAGGATCAAAAAACATTCCTGACATAAAAGTCCATTTAAAAAAAATCAAAAGCCCTCAAGGCCTTTTCATTGCAGGTATCAATAAGACATTATTCTCATTCAAAGACTACAGTATGAAAATGCATAAAATACAGGAAGTCACTCGCCACAAATGATACGTATGCAGAATCTAAACCTAGTCTGTGTTCGCTCACTAGTAAAGAAGATGAATTTGTTTATTTTTTTCAACTTCCATCTGTTGGAGCTCTGACACCTAATCATTTCTTGATTTTATAAGAAAGACAAGTTAGCCTCAAGTTAGCCACTTACTGAATAGTGCTAATTACTGAGATTAATATGTATTAAATACGTATAAAATATGACATCAACTGACTCAAAGTGTTACGCACTGAAAATTTTCTCAGTCATCTTAGTTTTAGTTTTAATTAGACTCTTTTATCTGATTAGCCTGTGATGTGATGTCCCCTGCCTCTCATTAACTATATATTATGGAGTATAAATTAATGCTTGCCAGTTCTTTCTAGGCTGAAATGATGTGAGTTGGAGAAAGGGTAGAAGCTGTTGGAACATTAACTAGAGGGTTAGTTCCATCATCTATACCGGAGGTCAGCAAACTACAATACGTGAGTCAAATTTGGCCTGCTACCTGTTTTTGTAAATAAAGTTTTACTGGAACACAGCCATGCCCATCTGTTTAGTATTGTGTATGGCTGCTTGTATTGCAGCATACAAAGCTCTGTTGAGTAGTTGCAACAGACACCTTATGGCCAGCAAAGCCAAAAATATTTACTATCTGGCCTTTTACAAAGAAAGTTTGTTGACTTCTGATCCCTTTGTATTTTCCCTGAAGCATGTTACCAGCAACCTAAAATGTGAAAGGATAGGGCCAATGCTTGCGTCATGAATGTATAACCCATGAAGTCCCACATGTCCCCACCCTTAGAAGGACTCCATGTTTGGTTTAATGCTCCACCGTCATCATCTTAAAATTCTTAACATTTTTGAACAAGAAGCTCCACATTTTCATTTTATGTAGCTGGTCCTGGAAGGGGCAAGAGAAGGGCTGGAAGTTTTATGAATACAATAAAATCAGTCATCAGCACTGATATTGTTTGCTCAGAATGTACACAAACCTTTCCTTCCACTTCAACGTTAGTTCTAATTTATTTATTTATTTTTTGCTCACTCCCCACTTCATTCTGAGTTTTGCTGATCAACTGTGAATAAATGTGCATTGTAATTGAGAGGGAGAGCGTGGGTCATACTGAAGGCACCCTTCCTTCAGTTGAGAGAGCCATACTCTATGGAGGGCATGCAGTGGCAGCATCATCTTTGGCAATAAGAAACAAACTTCATACCACATGACAGTTTCAACTATTTCATGATAAAAATTGGATGCAATAAAACCTAGGAATACTGGAAATACGCAGTTTTGCTTGACTTCCGTGGATATTTTCAAAAATTATGACATTCAAGGACTTTTCATATCATCTTAAACTAGAGCAATACTTCAAAGCTTTTTTATTTTTAATCTTTTTAAGTAGATAAGATTAAAAGCCAAGTGTACTGTTATGGGACAGATTGGTCTCTGGGATAGGAAGGAAGGTAGTACAGTTAATATCTTACCATTGAAGTTGGATGTAAAACAGAATACATCGTATCTGCTTTTATCTTTATCCCAAAACCCGTAGTTCCTGACGCCAGGCACTGTGTTCTGGCCCCCGCAGGGCTCTCTGGGCTTTGTGATGGGATATTGCACAGAGCCATCGCTGAGCCAGCCGGCGTTGCACCAGTCCAGCCCGCCCCGCCAGGCGTCATACAGCTGGTCAAAGGAGGCGATCACGGCGTCCTGGTCCAGACAGGCCTGCTGTGCCTCGTGAAAATTGAGATTGTAGCGCCCCAGTCGTGGAAAGTAAGGGAATACCACACCTGTCCGAAGGAGAAGGCAAGGGTCACTAATGGCACAAAAAGTAACAACTTAGAGTAAATTCCACTTGTGATGAAAAACACAACAGAATCTCTATCAGATCAGGGAGCAGTCTTTGGTCAACTAGCAACTGTTTCTCATGGTCCCTGTCCCCTTCAAACAGCCCCTCCATTCTGAGCATCTCACAATTAGTTACTTGGTTTGATAATTTCAGTGATTTACCTCTTTTGCTAAGAGCTCAACTCAAGCCTTGAAATTCTCCTTTCTTAATAGATCTGTCCCAGATTATAGTTTCCAAATAGCCCTCTCGAAGAATTTACCTTCCACTATTGGTTACCAACCCTATAGCAAATTACTGCTGAGCCCTTTTCACCTAGGGGAAAGTCAGTATTGAATATTAAGAGTTGGTAGAGTACATAGAAATAGTCAATATTGAATAGTAAGACTGGTGGGAATGCAGTGCTTAAAGAGAAGGTATTTATCAAAATTCACAATTTTTTTAGTAATCATTCTTACATAATTAGTACTATTAATATATAGTCTTTTAAAGAAACATATATGTATAAAGAAACGTGTTAACAAATGATTCGAATGTAGATATATACTTCTTTTTACATGTTCTCCTAGTAACTTGCAGATAAGTGACTTTCACTTAAGTAGCTTCTTATTTGGAGAAACTCTAAAGTGAATTCCTTTGCATATCTGACAAAAACCTAGTTAAATACTCATTTCATTTTAATAAGACAATTCTGTACAGTGAGGCATGACTTCATAAAAAGCATCATAGCTCTTTTACCTGTTTTAACTCTTAATGCAGCCCTTAATCTTATTTTTTTCCTGTCTTTAAATAAAATAGCACAACTAAAATAAGGCCTTTCATTTAAAAATATTTCCATTACCATTTTTCAACATCCATATTTATATATTGCAAACTGAAACTAAGATATTTTAAAAACATTTTTATTATAAATAGGGGGAAAAAAAAGCTTCCCTAAACTTGTCCTTTAAATGGTAGGTACAGAGTAGACATCTGTTGATAAATTAATGCCAAAGAATTAAAGTTAAATATTTTAGAGGATAAAAATCCCTTAGCAAATGTAAAAGTGTCACTTGGCACATCACTTTGCCTAGAAAGATATAATAGCTTTCCAAAAGCATTTCTTTTGGTCAAATAATTATGGAGGTAACTGAGCCATCTCAACACTCTGCACAATTTCTTTAAAGGATAAGGATCACCAGATAAGAGAGCAAATTTGTATCCTGGACTTTAAGAAGCACCACTGTGTCAAAGTATTTCCCCCATAGTTATTAAAAGATAATTAATTTGGAATGATTATTCAAAACTTTCATTGTATTTTTGATATAATTAGAAATAATTAGTATTTTAGCATGTGGAGGAATGCAAAAAATTGTTCCACTGACACAGTAATTTGGTGGGTCATAGCACCTGTGCTATTTTACGAGACTGCAGAGCCTATTCAAGATGACATACAATTTACCAACAGAATAACCAGTACATAGGAAATATTGTCTTTTATCAATTGTCCTGGAAGACTCTACAAGAAGAAATTTCAATGGCCTTAAATCAAGTCACATCCACTGGAGGCCTCTATGGGACATGTTTGTCCCTCTAGGGCAGTCCAGCTGGCACCGTCCACTAAAGGCAGAGATCCAAGAAGGCTTCCTGATCTCATTCTGCCTTCTCAGGTTCTTGGCTGAGGGATCTATAAGCTGAATCAGAGCCAAAAGAAAGGAGAAAAAGACTCTCTTGGTTGCCGCTAACTCCTGTGGTGAGGGGGAGGGAAAGCCTGGAGTTGGTTCTGTTGAAGGAAGGCTTTGCCCAGGCACCGAGTGAGGAACTCAGTGAGCTCTGCGAAGTAACTACTGTTAATATGATGCTCCCCATCCCCTCATGCCTTTATCCTCTTTCCTCAGTAGCCCCAGGAGTGCTGATGAAAAGGAAAATAACCAATTTATCCTGTAGAGATTCTTTCAGCGGCTAGATCTCAAAGCATCTCAACCTGAAGAGAGAAAGAAACCATTTTGGTTGACTTCCATTTCCCAAATGGTTCAAGATGGTCACAGTGGAGAATGTTAGATATTTTAATTTCTAACAATTTTAAAGATCCTGAAAATTTTTCAGGTTTAAATTCACTGTAGTGTATTTTGGTGGACTCTTAAAAGCATTAGGAAAAAAATTTCTCTGGTAATTTGTCCTTGATTAACCATTGAATATTATTGAAAAATGATAGATTTAGTTCCAAATCCAGTATAATACATTTTTATTTGACATTGAACCTAATGAAATTATATGAAATTTAATTCAATCACTTTTTAAAGTCAAAGTGAAATCTTATATTAAAATTTTAGTATCTTTCAATTGTTAACTATAAATGGTCAATTTACTGTTGTTTCAACTCAAAAGATGTAACAGATTTTAATTAATGTTTGATGGTGGTGGAAAGAACATATTCCAAGTAAATAAAAGTCAACTTCTACGCCCTCCTCAAAGTTTTAAAAGTTTCACTGTATTGTACACATTTCAACAATCAGATGTTTTTTATAAGCAGGGACATTTCTGGAACTACATGTTTGTTAGTATTTTATTTATTTACTTATTATACTTCTAGCTAGTTAAGATTTCAACATCCAATTGCTGAAACCTTGGCTCTGTGGAAAAACTTACAATTCCTACAGATGAATTATGGAGGAAATTGTTGCTTTCATCCAGTGTTACAAATAAAAGAAAAGTTAAACTCACATGGGTGGGAAAGAAGGATGTATGATTATTTTCAAGGAATATCTGACTCATTTATCCCTTATATGTCAAAATATAACCGAAAGTTGTTCACTTTTCCCTGAAAGGCTGGTTTGTATTGTTACAAAGGGGATGAGTAAGGATGATACATCACATAGAAAAGAATAATACCAAATGGTGTGAGGAGTTTAGTCTGTTGAAATACATTTGGAGGACGCATTCTTTAAGATTTATGATTGCATAGCCCAATTCATCCTAGTTGTAGGCAACTATTAGTTTGTTAGACATATGAAAGATTTTAATATCCTGGTACATCTAAAAGTTAAAGCAAGTCTCAATAACTTACATAAAGTAAATATTTTTAATAATAAAAAAGCAGAGACCATGTAGTATAAATAATTTTACCTTCCTTAGTGCCTCTCACAGTGCCTCTCAGTGCTATGCACATATCTGAAATTATTTTTCTCTTTCCGAAAGTTCTCAGACTATATTTTTGTATGTTAGGTCCCATTTTCACCAATGAAAAACTAATATAATGGAAGATTGGAAGCAGAGATATCACGTTTTTCATATCATTATTTGTATATTTATTGATTGCTGAGATGAATTCTGTAGTCCAAGCCTCTTACTGAGTTTCTAGTGACACTCTGTTGTTATATCTGTACAGGGCTTCTTTCTTATTTGGTGCTATTTCCAGCAATGTGGGTAATTGGTATCAATCAGAGGGCTTTACCCAATTCAAGATTCTGTATGAAAACATTATATTTCCATAGCTAATTCCAACTCACATGGAAGTCAGTCTTTGTAAGGATTTATACATTTTTTGGTCAATGTGATTCTACAAACAGTTCTTAAGTCACAACTAAGAGCAAGGCACTGTGCTTGGTACTCTAGGATACAGGTGTGAGTGTGGCCTCTTCTTTTAAAGAATCCACAATTGGACAGAATATATGGTTTGAATCCAAGACAGAATAAAATCTTTAATACAAAGAGGAACAACATCATTTATGTATCACGAAGGACGATTTTTTTAATTGGTAAAATTCTTTGGTGAAAACAGCATTTAATCTGGTACTAAGGGACCAATATAATTAAAGGCAATGTACAATTACAGTTGGAAAGGCAACTTAATCATGACATTCAAAACGATATGCTTTCCTGGCCTTTTTGTGCATATTAGAAGACTGATAGGGACCTTGAGTGAAACCTGTCTGATTGGTATATGGTACATGTAAGAATGTAATTGATAACGAAAAAGGTCAGAAACTGGAACAAGAGCTAATAAATGACAACCACAGGTGTGTCTTTTACCATATGTGGTTTACCATAGATTTGAAACGCTTCTCTGCTGCACCTTGACTGCCTATCTCAGACTATGTGGAAATTGTCCTCAGGTTATCAATCAAGTTTACTCAAATTTTATTTTTATGGTTTTTATTTTATTCTAGTGGCTACCTTAATTTGTTTTTGTCATTTTATTTTAAAATAAGAATCCTTATCTTATACTGAAGTATATTTAGATAAAATAATGCTCTATCTGAGTTTTCTTAAAAATTATTCAGTGGTAGTTAGAGTAAATAAAGCAAGATAAAAGAAGACTGGCTATATCATGATAGTTTTTGAAGTTGGGTGATGGCATGTGGAGATTCATTATACTATTCTTTCTATTTTTTCTGAATGTTTGAAATTAGTTGCAATAAAAAGTTAAAATTTTTTATCCCACTCTATCATCAAGCTGAGACTGAAACCAGGCATGCTGGAATGCTGTTGGTGGGACTTGTTCACGTTTTTGCTTTGAGAAATGTCTCTCTCTTACCTGTGATGCCCTCTCTCCCCTCTCCTGCTTTTTCATGCTCCCTCTCCTTTGAAAGTTTCGCCTTTCATATTCCAAATCAAGTGTCTCTTCCTTAAGAATGTTTTCTGTGCCGCCCCCCTACGGAGTGCACACTCCGTGGTATTTGAAAGTTCAAACGCTTTGTAAACTATTATTGAGCATCATCTTTGTTCTTGGCACTTGAATGCCCTTATGAAGATCATGTTTAGCAGGTAGAGAAAGACAAGTTTGCAAATATTTACAAAACAAATTGCGATTAGAGCTATAATGGAAGTCTATATAAGGTGCTCTGAGAACATCATAGTTGGGGGTTGAGGGATGAGGAGAGAATTGAACAGCTACCATGAGCACACTGATTAATGCAGTATGATCAAAGGCCAGTTTCTAGGCTATCTCCTAAATAATTTTGGGGCCATTAAGAATCTTCTGAAGCCTGAAGCTGCTAAATGCTGCTGCCTTTTTGAAACCTCTCTTCTTCTCCCAAAGAATTTTCTCCTTCTTGCAAACCCCCAGATCTCAGTGGAAAAGAGCATAGGCTTCATCCAATGCCTTTAGTATCAAATTCCAGCTCCAGCTCTTAAAAGAGCTGCCTGGCCATGTTATCTTAAAGAAGATGTTTTCCCTAAGCTTCATCTATAAAAGGGGATTACCGAAAATGGGCAAAATAAATACTGCATATGATTGTAGCAATTTGTTTGAACCAACTGATTTTACTGAATTCTGCCTTAATTCATTAAATTATCTTGAAATCTTTAATGGGCTGCATGATTAAGGAATGAAAAGAACAAAGACTTCAAATTCTTTGTATCTCAGGGCACAAAGCAGCACCTGTAAAAATATTTATCAATTAAATTGGTTTCTTGGACCACATTTATTGGCTCTTATGCATATGTGTTATATGGTAGGAAAGTGTTCCCAAAGCATGGAGAGTCTGGAGATGGCACAGGGCCCAGGAAAGAAAAATTATTTTCTTATAGTTCCCCTTCAGCATCTGCAGTTGTGTCTTGGAGGAAGTCTTGGTTTAACCCTAGAATGCATTATCCTCTAGCATGTGCTACATCTCCCTTCAAACAATGAGAAAGCAGGCTTTGTGCTCAAAACCATTATCAAGCAGTGGTATCCAACTAGAATTTAGAAATATCTTATTTTCATTGTATTTATTTTTATGACTTCCTTCTACTTCTGGCAAGTTATACTGGTTTCTATTTATTTAAAAATTTCATTTTTAAAATAAATGTAGGGAGAAAGAAAATATCACATGCAAATTACTGACATTTAGGAACTATGGTAGTATATAATATAGGGTTTTATAAGAAAAAGTAACAATAGGTACTATAGCTTAAACTCTTATTTCATAAATGAGGAAACCAAAGTATCACAAGGATAAGTGACCTGCCCCAGTCACAAAACGGATACTGACAAAGCTGTGACTAACTTAAGCCTCTTGGTACTACCAGCTCACAGTTCTGTTCATCCTCCAATGCCCCTTTGATAAAGGTTCTCAATTAGCATTTGATAACAGACTGACTTCTCTAAACCAACTACTTCTTCCATATTGAATAATGCCAATGTTTATGGATTTACTATGAATCAATGAAAATGGAAAGCACAAGGTTGCATGCAATCAGGAACCCAGAAATGCAACCATGAGAGACAAGGAAAAGTCACAAAAATGTACTTTATAACATTGTGCAATTTATTAGATGTATAAATCAAATAAATCTCCATATGTGTGATGGGATTCTATGAGTTTCAGAAGGTCAAATATTCTGTGATATGCTAGTGGACCAACAGATATTTTTCTAAAAAAAACCAAATCTGCCCTACGAGGTAAAATGAGCTTCTGACAAGAACACATCTATAGTTGTATGTACAGAAGGAAGGCAAATATTCTGTCAATGCTGCCAAATTCATCCTTCATGTCAAATGATGCTGAAATTTATGAGAAATAAGATGTTTTGGGATATATAAGAAACTAATGGGCAGAGGGGAGGCCAGCATGGCAAAGACACTTTTTATGTTGTATAGCTTTGTATACATGTTGGTTTTTGAAACTACTGAATGTTTTACATATTTAAGAAATAACATTTCCCTCCAAAATGAATACCATTTGGTAGTCAATGTCTAAGGGACTCTGGGCCATTAAAACATTACTTCTTTACAAGAACACTTAAATAAATCTAGAGGTTGTTTTTCGTTAAATTAAGTTTTTGCAGTCATTTTACAGAATATAACTGCACATATTTTAGTTAGATGTCCTTTACAAAACTTGCTGTTATTTTGAAACTGAGATAATTTTAGAAGCATAATAAAAAAGCATACAAATCTGAATTCCTCAATAACCATATAAAGGAATTTAAATTTTGAGTAGCATCAGACAGTATCTGAAAATTGTTAATTCTGTTCCACTGCACGTTTCTCCTAGTTGTAAATAACTTCAATTTTGTGCATAAGCATTGTGCATACATCTCAAATATGAAAGCTGGAATCATAGGCAGACTGCATAATACAAAAGAATAGAAAAGCACGCTAGGAAATGGACTTTTGCTTTCTCATTTCATTACTATGGTAACCACTAGACATTGCTCCTTATGCATAAAAAAAACACAATGATTAATTATTGTTTCTAAGTTTAACATGATTTATAAATACCTACCTTGTAAGTCTAATGCTACCACAGCAGTATCATCTTCTAAGCCTTCAATCACCTCACACTTATATCTCCCATAATCTTCCAGGGTGAGGTCTGTGATTACCAGAGAAGCATCGTTATCACTACCTCCCTTCAGAAACACTCTCCCCTGGTAGCCTCCATAGGTTTTCTTGTGGTATCCCATGGAAACAAAAACATCCACTTCCTTGAGGTAATCCGAAGTTAGCTTGGTCCACTTGATTCGGATTTTGTGGATTCCTGAGCCAAATGCTGTAGGGTCTCGATAAAATTTACATGGCAGTGTGACATTGCCACCTCTGTGTGAGAACACCTTGGCTTGTTCTGCTTCCACGAGTAGACGGGGGCCATTTTCTGCTATAAAAAGAAAAAAAATAACCATTAGTTGGCCTTCAGATATGTTTGTAAAGTGAAATGTGCTACATAAACAGGATGTCTGACAGAGATTAGCTCTGGGGGACTGTCTTCTCTACACAATCTCTTTTGAAACACACTGGAAGGTACTTCCAATAACTAGAAGGGATCTATAAGGTAGTCATGTCTTTTAAACCAGAAAGGAAGGATGTACATTATAATCAGTAAGAAATATTGGATATAAGACCCCATTGTCATTTGAAGTTCAATGGTTTCATAATATACTTTCTTTATTTTTCTGTTTTCATTTTTCTTCTACATTTAAATATCAAAAATGTAGAAACAAGATCAAGAGAAGTGACAGAGTTCCACACCTATTTCATCAATGTAAACCAAAAAATTTCGAGGTAAGGTCAGCCCCAGCCAGGCTTTCTAATACATTAAGTTTGTGTTATATTTATAGGCAAAGCATAAAGGAACGCGATTCACTTTCATTGTACTGTTCTGGCCAAAGAACTCAGAACATCCTTACACTTAAGGCTTCTATTCAATTACACATCTGTGTTACGCTATTCTGGAGCACTTCAAGCAACATATATGTATTTCATTTTCACACAAAGGCTAGATATCAGAAAGGTATTTTTAGAAATGCTTTTGACAAACTCCAGAAGATTTTGAAATATATTCCTCAAAATATGAATGAAAAAAGCATATCTAAAGTTATACTTATTTTCTGATTAATCAAATAATTATTTGCTTCTTTATTCCCTTAAATATTCTTCTACTCCCTCTCCCTTTGCTTTCTGCTATGTCTTTTTTGTGGTTCTCTTATCATTTCCACCTTTCCTTTGCTTGCCCTTTGATTTTCCTCCGCCCTCCTCCAAGGACTTCGCTGCCTTCCAAAGAGCACCACAATATTCCAAGTCTGCCAAGTCATCAGGGCTGCCGTTTCTAGACACCAGCTGTTATTTTCAGATCTTGGCTTTCTCGGGGTTTCCCCCTGGTTAGCACATTGTGCTTTTGACCTTGACGCTATCTTTTGAGGATGTACATGATTTGAAAATGAGAAAGCGATATAAGAACTCCTGGACACATATACCTTCTTGTCCATAAACAGCTTTTAAAAGCTGCCAGAGTTGCCTTTCATGAAGCTCTGCAGCCTTCCTGCCTTAGGCAGAACGTATTGAATAATCCTTGGCAGCCAGTCATTTAAGACGTACAAATCACCAAGAAGAGTAGCCACTCACCTTGAGACAAATCTCAAAACTTAGTTATTTAATAGTACACATGGGATTCTGATTTTAAAATAGAAAGTATCCAAAAAATAGACACAGCATTCTGTTTTTATCATATAGCAATCAGAAATAATATTTTAAAATGAGCATATCATTTCATTTATAAATGATCCCCAATCCTCAAAAAACTGTAAAGTTTAACAAAGCCCTCAATGCCTCCACTTTGAATAGTTAATGAAAGGAGAGGATAATGGTTCCATTTAGTATTTAATTAAAATGAATCACAAACCCAACTCCTTAAGCATTTTCTTTATATTCCATTCTTTATCTTCTTATTTAGGACCATAGAATCTCAAGAGAGAAAAGACAAATCTATCCAAATCTGCCCTATACGTAATTTTTCCCCTACAATATCCCCAATGACTGCATCCAAATTCTACCTAAACATCTCTAGTGTCTTCTTTCTGGGAGAATGAGGTGCTGTTGACTAAGTTCACTCAGTAACGTCTGAAGGCCACGGGGAACATTTCCTACCTGGTATTTTCTGGGGGGAAACCTGGGAGCTGGGTCTTCTCATGCTGGGATATGAGTTTAGATATGACACATAGCGACAAGAGGTCTCCGTTTCATGAGTTTTGCAAGTTATTTAGTTTAAAGTTAAAATTAATGCCCCAATGCATGGGGGTAGAAGATAGTATAGTAGTTAGCAACAAGGACCTTAATGTAATACAGACTTTGGTCCAACCTCACCTGTTCAATTTAATAGCTCTGTAGCCTTGGGCAAGTTGTTCAATCTCTAAGCCCCAATTTCCTTATGTGTGAATTAGGGATAGTAATACCTACCATATAAAATTAACCTGATACACATAAAGCACTTAGAACAGTGGTTGACTAATACTAAGTGTGCACTAACTGCTAACTGTTCCTTCTGCATAGATTTTACACGTATTTCTGTCCAACATTGAGCAAAATATTGGCATATATTAATCTTCCACAGTTTCACTTATGAAGTTTTTTTTTTTTTTTTTGAGACAGGATCTCTGTCACCTGGGCTAGAGTGCAATGGTGTCATCATAGCTCATTGCAACCTCACAGGGCAGGGCTCAAGCCCTCTTCCTTCCTCAGCCTCCTGGGTACCTGAGACTACAGGTGCATACCACCACAGAGCAGCTAATTTTTCGCCCTTGCTCACACTGGTCTCAAACTTCTGGCCTCAAGCAATCCTCCCACCTTAGCCTCCCAAGGAGCTAGCTTTACAGGTATGCACTTATAAAGTTTTGAACCATATGGAGTGAAAAATAAATACATAAAATGCCACCTGTGTCATATAGGAGACTTGGAAATATGTGCAGTGTAGTGTAATTATAAGCTGTTCCAGGATGAATACAAGGTCTAAATGTTATGTAAACTTTATATAAACTAAAAGATTTAAAGCAAAGCTCAAAACTCTTTATGAGGGACTGAGACGTCTAATTTTTTTTTCTGTGGTTAACTGTAAACTGTCTTGTAGTACTTTAGAAATGTAGACTTCTGATTTTGTTTTTGTTTTACTTCTTCTCCAGAATTGTGAGTAGAGGATGACTTAGATGATGTAATATTGAAAAATGAGCAGATACCCCAAAATCCACTGACTTCACAAAATAATTTTTCTAACAAGCCTTCCAGAATGTATAAAATTCTACCATTCTTATTTCTTGTGGGAGGCAGAGGGGATGTTGAGGTGATAGATGCCAGAAGTCCCTGGATGAAATTCAAAGAACCCAAGGAAAGATGCATAACACATTAAGGTTCATTAACCTAAACCCCCAACATGGTCTTGAGAACAATGGTTACTGTTTGTTTGCTTGTTTTTAGAAGCTCTACACTGCAGATTACATAGCACCGGGCATTGCCGGAGAGAGTAGCCTTCTACGGAACAGGTACAATGTGGTGAAATGAGCACTCGAGTAACTCGGGAGCTCTGGCCTCCATTGCAGGCTCTACCTTAGCTTTAGCTGTTGGATTCTGACAAGCCCACCTCGTGAGAACACTGAGCTTCAGATTCTTACCAGGCTCTATGTCACAGGTTGTCATCATAGGCATCAGCCAGGAAACACACCAAGTTGGACAGGGGGAAGAAAAAGAACAAAGACAGCAGAAAAGGGAAGCACGAACTCTGATTACAAACTTTGTACACTCTGGCCTAGACAGTCTTGAATCTGATCATTGCATTTGAAATCCTGGATCAGTTTGAAATTAATGCTTAAATTAAAACTGTTTGACCAACAGGGCAATTGCATAGTAATTGAAATGCAAAAAATAAAAATAAACCTTGATCATTAGGATAAGTATGGCTTGTTTTCCTTTTTAAAAAAAATATAAAAGAATAAATAAAACTAGGCAGCATACAAGTATTCATTTTTCCTTTTCCTTTTAATGTCAAAAGGTGAAAATAAACAATCAAATATACTGTTGAAGACCTTAGTGATTGTGTCCTTAAATAAGCCTGCATGTTGAAAATATATGGCTAAGTAGGGAAATTGAAGATGTCCAGTGGGGGACTGAATTTTTTAAGAGTGTAATTTATAAGTGCAAAAATTTCCCGTATCTATTAGTGAGGGTCAGTGTCAGTGACTTGAAAGACCCGATGCCCTTCAAAGCCCAGAGTTGTCTCCAGGGGAAACAGCAGGGCCTGGTGAGAACACTAATGGGGACTTGAGAAGCCACTGGGGCCTCATTATTATTTTACAAATTCTGCTGTGAAATCCGGGGGACATCATTTGTTTTTACCAAATAATGAAAGCAATGGCGTGAACAAACAACTGATCTTTGTCGTTGCTATGAAATTTAGATGAAGTCTTTTAAACAGTGGGACAAAAACAATTGCAGAAAAACAATTTACACATATGGTACTGAACCACTGCCTGTTCTTCTCAGTTCTATTGAAAGTGTTGATTTTTTTTTTTTTCCTGGCAGTTAACACCCAAAGAAACCCAAGTGACAGGAAAAAAGAGCAGGTGTTATGAACCAAAGTATGTCTTTTTAAACTGAATTGTGCATTGTATAAGTCAACTAGTCTTGATGTTGGCTACCTTCTTCACAGGTGTATGGAGGAAGCATGTTCCAGACTTTTGGATTTTCTATACCAATTGAAAGAAAAAACAACCAGGGAACCTATTTAAGATGGCAAAATAAGGTGCTGAGTAAGGATATTGAAAATACATCCTTCCAAGAAAAAACTCTACTACCACCACTGAATTTTCTTTTATTGTGGTAAAATATATATTTAAAAATTTGCCATTTTAACCACATATAAATGTACAATTCAGGGTCATTAATTACTTTCACCATGGTGTGCAATCATTACCACTATCTCTTTCTCAAATGTTTTCATCACCCCAAACAGAAAGCTAATTTCTCTCTGACATCCCAAACTGATAGACAGACTCAATTGTCAGCTCCACGATGAGTCATTTGAAAAAAAATGAACAAAGTTTTAAAAATACTTCCTTATTTCATGACATTTGTTAATGCTTTGGTAGATTTGGATGTGTAAGACTAACACTTTGGAAGCTGTTACTTCCCTTAGGCTAGCCAAAGCAATGCAGGAGGATGAGCAACCAGGATGGATTTGTATCCTTAATCACTGTACTCACCATAGTTTATTGAAAACAATCACTCTTTCTTGTTTACATTGTTTCCCCAGCATCAACATAGTGCCTGGCATGCAATAAGCGTCTGTTACTGAAATATACTAGTGTTACATAGAGCCTGTGCTTAGCTGTAACA